ATTGAGTTTTGCAGCAATTTGAAACAGTATACGATATTGTATACTCAACTAACTGATAACATTATAAACAACGTTTTTCAATAGTTTTCATCTTTTTTGAAGAAAAAACAAAGCAATCACTTAGTATTTTTGTACACGAAGGTTATATACGGTCGCGAAGATATTTTATCCTAATACTGACCTATACGAACATACTACGTAATATAAAATGTGTCGTATTCTGAAAATTCTTTCTCAGAAATAAAAAATTGATACTTTTCAATTTAATTAAAATTAATAATATCTATGTTTCAAAACCCAAGATAATGGAATCTTAAGATTGATTTCTTAACGTGTTCTTGAACAGAATTAAGATGTTCGCATAGAACAAAAGGTTAAATAAATACTCAGCAGATCAATTTCAGCATGTCAATCATGAAACACGTATTCGTACTAGAGTCTAAGAATATTATCACAATGGACAAATTGTATTTTAGTGTAAACGATTGAAGTATGAGTCAGTTGTCGATCAAACTATACAAACGTCATACTCTTCTTCGCAGATTTATGTTACATTCACTATTTTTTTTATAATCTAAATTAACACAGACAAAACATATACAGGGTGGCGTAAAAGTCACTTTACCGAGAAACAATTAAATATCTCCATTACGGCTACAACGAACAAGCCGATTTTTTTATCAATGATAGAGGCATCTTCAAGCTTTATATCCATAAAGACATGTCTAGAGATACCCTTCTTTAAGTATCATTATTGGCCTCATCAAAAAAATTTTACTTTTTCCCAGATAGGAAAAAAACCAATATACTTAACAAAGAGTCTCTCTAGGCATGTCTTTATGGGTACAAAGCTTGAACATGCTTCTATCATTGATAAAACATCAGCTCGTTTGTTCGAGTTGTAATGGAGATATTCAAGTTATATTCGGTAAAGTGCCTTTTGCGCCACCCTGTATATGCAGATAAACTATTTCTAAGTACAGGAAATTGATAACACTCATTCGTTTTTATAGATTTAGATTTATTCTCAAAAAAAAAGATAACATTGTCAGTAAAGTGGGAAACCTACAAATTGCGTGATGTCTCATCGCTGCTCTTTTGTTAAAATGTTAGCATCGTCGTACAACTGATTGGACTACAATGATCTGACTTCTTAACTCGTGGACCTCTAATAAAGATAAAAAATGAGAATAACTTTCTTCTATTTGATATGTACATATATATAAATACATATATGTAATGTTCCTGGACGTCACATAGTTAGAAAAAGTTATCAAATATTAGTAACATATAAACTCGGTCCAACCGATATAATTTTATCTGGTTGAACATGAAATTCCCAATTTCGTTCGATTGATTTAACATGATCAAATGGAGCGGTAAGTACTAAATTTCCACATTGAATTTTCGTTATTATTGCAACGGCT